ATTCGCTTCACATTCAGCTCATTCCTACAAATTCAGTTCTAATCCGATTCTGAAAGTCCAGATTTGATTTAATTTCTAGATGAAGCCACTTTTAATGAGTTTAAGGAAACACTCTGAGGACGACATTTACAGATTTCATCATATGATCCTGTGACTGTGTCCTGATCAGATTTATGGATTTGTTTTCAACGTTTCTGTTTTTCTTCATCATGAATCAAACTGATTAGATTTTCGGCAGCGACTACGTCAGATCTGCTTCACTCGTATCCTCACATTGAAGCAAACGTCTCTCTGGTGGATTTGATTGACTCACACACTGGGATGGTGTGAGATCAGTTCTATCGATTGTTATTCTGAGAAAAGAGGGTCTTTGTTAGCGTCACTTCATGGCTGGACTGAAGGCATCTCAGGAGGCAGCAGAAGTACGACACTTTGCAGAAACTGAGCCAGTTGTGTCCAAGGCACAAAGTGAAAGATCAATAAATTTGTTCACTGAGAGATTCAACAAAGCATTTTCTAAATAAAGAACACTCTCTGAAGCACCTCTCAGGGGGTCAAACACTACTAATACTCACATTTATTGCCTAAATCTCCCAGATGTAGTACGAGACAAAGCAAAGAGCTCAATTTATGGATGTTCCAGGCCTCACCAGTGGCCCTGAGAATCAGATTGTAGATAGAATAGCTGAAATGTCTGTAGAGATAGCAGCAGAGTAGAGTTGCTGCTCTGTTGTGGTTCGAATGCCTCCCAGACGCCATCCTTTGGAGCTTTTCCAGGCACGTCCAACTGGGAGGAGACCCCCGGGGTGGACCCAGAACTCTCTGGAGGGATTACGTATAGTCTGAGAATGCCTTTCAGTCCCCATGTTCTGCTGCCAGAGCGACGTCTGGAACAACCTGCTTAACCTGCCGCCCCAATCTGGATAAGTGGAAAAAGATGGACGAGTGCTCAGATTTTTCGTTTGTTTAGCTGTTAGTTTAGAAAATGTGCCTAATATGAGATACCTGGTGTGAATTAGTCACAGTCCTGAACTGACCTGTGGGGCAACAGAACAAGTCACTGACAGTTTAGTTGATCAGTTGTTGTGCAGCTGAAGTCTGTGCATTTATGAGCAGATATAACGAGAAAGTGAGTTTATTTTTTAAATTCAGACTTTTTGTGGAGCAGTGTTTGCTGCTTCTGTGTGTGTGAGTGGATGAACAGTTTCACTAAAACAACGTTTCCAGATCGGGACACTTTTAACTGCATCTGTTCAAAGACGCTCAGTTCAGACGACACAAAGCAGCAGCAAAGAAATCTGTTTGTGAAACTGGTGCTGAACAGTTTCACTCATCCAAAAAGGCAAGTAAACAATAAAAATATGAATCACATTTATCATCAGTTGTGTTTTGTTGCCATGAAGACACTAGAGTCCTGTATTATGATATTGTACTTGTATATTTGAACTCCACAGTGCAGAGGTCGACACCAGACACAGGATTTTAATATTTATCTGTAGATGTCGTGACATCTCTCTGCTTGCACCTTAAGCCTGCTGCTTTACATGAGATGGTTTTTGTGACATCTAAACTACTTTGGATTCAGTCGTGGTCCAAATATAATGCATGGAAATTATTTTTTTTGTACCCTTGATTATGTAGAATGTTTAATTTTAAAAGGACAAAACCGACATTTTGCCCTTTTAATCTACCCTCAACAGCCCTCCATAAGTCGAGAGTTAAATAAGAATGCTGCTCTTTGTCTTTTTTACTCTGTTCAGATGCTTTGTTGTGGCTGTTTAATGAAGTAGAAGCCATGTTGTGTCCAGTAGCAACACATCAGACATATTTAGAAAGTAGTTCTGCATTGTCCGCGAGGGAAGAACAATAAATGCTTTTTTTTCAGTAACTGAAACGTTACACACAATGTGAAACTACTGTGAATTCTCCTGCCCCCTGTTGGCCCGACTCACACAAAGCAGCTGTAGAGGAATCTCGATGATGAATTAAAGGGTTTTGTTGTGAGCATAGTAGACCGTTAGCGTATCTGGTGTCCACATGCTGTGGCTGCTCTCTAAGTGAAGCCATGTTACCTTCTCTAGAGGGTAAAATGCTGCTGCTGCCAAAGCGGCGTGCTTCCTGTTGGAGATTAAACCAGGAACAAGTGGTCTGCGGCTGCACACACACACACACACACACACACACACTTTAAAGCAGAGTTTTACCACACACTTGCTGCAAAAACTCCAGATACAGTCAAACAGACCGATCCTGCAGCTGTACCGAGCAGATGAAGCGGTCGACTGAGGCTCCTTATGCTTGGATGAGCTTATGAGCAACTGCAATGCAACAAAGAGCTCAGTCTCCACAGAACAGCATTTCCATATAAGCTGCGTTCTCGGTTATGTCATGGGGGAAACTTATTTCT